GTTCTGTCTTCTTCACTTTCTCCACCATTTCAGCCAGCATGTTGTTCCTGCGTAGAACCAGCCTCGGAGTGAAGGTCTCTCTGCACTGGGGGCAGCTGTAGACCCCCCTCTGATCCTCCTGATCCCAGTGTCTGTTAATACACACCATACAGAAACTGTGTCCACAGTGAAGTGTCACTGGATCCTTCAGCAGATCCAGACAGACTGGACAGCTGAACTGGTCCTGATCTACGGAAATACTGGCTTCTGCCATTTTCCTGCAGACAGAGAGAGAGAGAGAGAAAGAGAGAGAGAGAGAGAGCAGCACTCTGAGATCAGTTTCACTTTCTCTGAACTGAGTAGGAGGGACTTCCTGCTTCTGTGTGAGTTAAAGCGCTGCACAGAGAGGGTGGAGGGACAGAGAGAGAGAGAGAGAGAGAGAGAGAGAGAGAAAATAAGAGCAGATCGAGATACGAGGACGAGTCAGGAACAGAATTTTGAAAGAATAAATGTGGAGTTGGGCCTTAAAAGTAATGGATTAAACTGATTCCAGTTTGTAGGAGAAACACAGACAGAAGCTGTTCACAGTAATGAGCTACAATACGCTGCTCAGACTTAGTGCTGTAACTGAAAACAAAATTCTGAAAAAAATTATCTGAATTCTGAATGTCACTGCAATTAAACTGTATTTCTACATTTAAATCTATAGACTTGTAGACTTATTAGACTCGTCATAAAGAGAGTATTAATAGCTATAAATATTGTAGTGTGTTTGAGAAAAGCTTTACATGTTAACTCCAGGTTATGTGTTCTGCGGCATTTACTCTGCTAAGGACTCTTATTCTGAAGGGCGAGGTTAGCCTGCTGGCTATGTTTATGCTCATGTTTATGTTCATTGAATTCAGGTGTTACAATCACTTCCATGGCCACAGGTGTATAAAACCAAGCACCTAGACATGCAGACTGCTTCTACAAACATTAGTGAAAGAATGGGTCGCCCTCAGGAGCTCAGTGAACTCCAGCGTGGTACCGTGATCGGATGCCACCTGTGCAACACGTCCAGTCGTGAAATTTCCTCACCACTAAATATTCCACAGTCAACTGTAAGTGGTATTATAACAAAAGGGGAGCGATTGGGAACGTCAGCAACTCAGCCACGAAGTGGTCAGCCACGTAAAATGTCAGAGTGGGGTCAGCGGATGCTGAGGCTCATAGTGCGCAGAGGTCACCAACTTTCTGCAGAGTCAATCGCTACAGATCTCCAAACCTCATGTGGCCTTCAGATTAGCTCAAGAACAGCGTAGAGAGCTTGATGGAATGGGTTTCCATGGCCGAGCAGCTGCATCCAAGCCTTACATCACCAACCGCAATGCAAAGCGCCGAATGCAGTGGTGTAAAGCGCCGCCACTGGACTCTAGAGCAGTGGAGACGTGTTCTCTGGAGTGACCAATCACACTTGCCAGGAGAACAGTACTTGTCTGACTGCATTGTGCCAAGTGTAAAGTTTGGTGGAGGGGGGATTATGGTGTGGGGTTGTTTTTCAGGAGTTGGGCTCGGCCCCTTAGTTCCAGTGAAAGGAACTCTTAATGCTTCAGCAGACCAAGAGATTTCGGACAATTTCATGCTCCCAACTTTGTGGGAACAGTTTGGGGAGTTTGGCCCCTTCCTGTTCCAGCATGACTGCGCACCAGTGCACAAAACAAGGTCCATAAAGACATGGATGAGTGAGTTTGGTGTGGAAGAACTTGACTGGCCTGCACCACAGAGTCCTGACCTCAACCCGATAGAACACCTTTGGGATGAATTAGAGCGGAGACTGCGAGCCAGGGCTTCTCGTCCAACATCAGTGTGTAACCTCATAAATGCTCTCTCGGAAGAACGGTCAAAAATTCCCATAAACACACTCCTAAACCTTGTGGAAAGCCTTCCCAGAAGAGTTGGATTAAGAACGGGATGTTACTCAAGTTCATATGCATGAGAAGGCAGACGAGCGAATACTTCTGGAAATATAGTGTAAGTTTGCTTCTGTGATCACAGACATGAGAAAATAACTTAAAATAATACAAATGATTCATCTGTTTACATGTTGCTTTTATTGACAGTATGTTTTTACTTGGATTAATCTAATGTGACCAAAACTGCTATCAGAGTGACTGATGTTTTAGTAGCAGCCACCAGAGGGCGCCAGCTCTGCCTTATTGCTCTGAAAGAGAACTTGCAGTCTAGTTTCTGCCAGTTTGGCCCACAAATATAAATATGTAATAAGTTTTCTTATTGTTTGTCCTTTTTTACTTTCTCTGTCAGAGCATTTTGCCTGAACTACAAAACACACAGGAGATCAAATATATTGTGCATCATGACGTCTTTTTGGAGAGTCTGTTTATCTTTTGAACCCAGTGACTCTTTTTCGATAATCTGATCTTCTGGATGGCTGAGTTCTCATATGTATCACACCACCAGGTTTTATGTTGGGTAACAGTGAGGGACTCTGGTCAGTGATGTAGGGAAATACACAGATTAGTAATAAAGTTTGGGTCAAGTAAGTCCGGTTTTAGATGTTGTCCTTCAATGTTATAAACCGTATTCGTTCCTGGGGTAAATGATGTTGGTCTTAATCCAAACTGAACTCTCATCTAACCAACCTTTACCACTTTATCAGCCTCTGCCTTTACTCAGATCAGATGTCTTCCAGGTTTACCTTCAGAACAACAATCACTTCACAGAGCAGCAGATAAACTCCAGCGCTCTCCTTTACAGACACCACCGTCCATCTGAACTCCTTCAGCTCACCGTCTCTCTGTTGGACTCACATTCTCTAACTGACCTGTACTGAGTCCATTTGCTTCTGAGGATAAAAACAACACAAACCTCATTTTCTATTTAGTTTATTCAACAAGAGCTTTAAAACACAAAGTAAAGCTTTATTCCAGAAATCTCATTCTGATGGAACCACGTCCAGTTCAGATTCACAGAGAGTCCAGAAATGAGTCTGTGTTGAAGGTGGAGGTGTGGATGAGTGATGAACTCCTACAAACCACTCGGCTTAAATCAGACCCACATTTACACACAGTAAGAATAAACAGTGCTCTGTCCAGTAAAATCATCAGGCGTTAGACGTAATGAAAGCTGTATCATTTGTGTCTGTAATGCATCTCAGAGCTCTTTAGACGTGTTTTATCAGAAAGTGTGCAAAGTTTATCATCTGATTCAGCTTCACTTTATTTAGATCAACAATGTATGTACAGTCTAATCAGACGTCTTTACTGTATTTTTCAGGATTCAAACAGCAACATTCAGATCATCACAGAACAATGGAAGATGACAGGACCCCCTTCTGGGTTCCAGACTGAGGAGGGAATAAATGGATTCATAAAGGTGATTAATGGGGCGATGAACTTATTTATGATACATTCTCAACACTTGATCTGTAGCTCCTGAAAAATCCACAGATACTGTATGTTTCACTGAACAGTTCAACAGTGATGTAACCCATAATGCTCTGAAACGTGCCATGATGTAATGATGACATGTATAATCATTCAGATGAACATCCCTGAATATTCAGATGGAGGTAAAGCTCTATTGGAGCTGGATTAGTTTTACCAGAGGAGGTCTTGGAGTGTAATTAGTGTGTGATCTGACTGGCTGATTCATTCAGGATAAAGCGTCTCTGTAATTTCCCCAAAGGCTGTTAGTCTTTTCTTCAGGTTGCTAAGGAAGAATGTGTTTTCTATTAGCCGGTTTTTTTGCTACATTACTGTGATGTTGATTTGAACTGGATTAGAATCACAGATCTCGGCTTGATCACTCAGATTACAGTACCTCCCCAGATCAAACTATTCCAGCTCCAACAGGGCTTAAGACAGGACTGAGAGCTGATGGGTGAGATTTTAACAGTAATGCAGACTAAAAGTGTGAAATAGATGTTCAATCAAAGCCTTGATTACATTTATAATATAACTGCAGCAAATATTAAGAATCTAAATCTCAAAAATATCATAGTACCAAATCTAGATATTTCATTTTCATTCAACAACATAAAACGACCTTCATTCTTTATCTATATTTCATTACTGAGTCACACAGTTTAGCTGATGATCTCAGACTGAGCCCAAACCCAGCGTAGAGCGGCTGAGCGAATGTGGTGTGGACTGTGTGTAGGAGGGTCATTGTGTCAGAGACGCTGTAGAAGGACAGAGTTCCTGCACTGTGATCCACATACACTCCTATTCTGGAGGATGATGGAGCTCAGAGCTCAGTCTGAATGTTGTTGTGCCAGAAAGTGAGAGTGTTAGAACACCTCAGACTCCAGGACTGATTGTTGTGTCCAAACCTGCTCTCATTACCCCATCCTTTCCTGCGGACCCCTTTATATGACACTGATATGGATACTGTACCGCAGAGCGGCCCCCATTTCCCTTGTCTCCACTCGAGCTCCCAGTAACAGGGTCCACTCACACTCTCCTTACACAACACCTGATTCCAGTGCTCAAATCTCTGTGGATGGTCAGAGTAACGCTGCTCTCCTCCTCTGTCTGTCACCACTCTGTTCTGCTCAGACAGGCTGAGTTGATGATTTACAGTGTTGGGATCCAGAGTCAGTCGACAGAAATCTAAAATAATGAAGAAAGAAAAACATTAGATTTTTATTTTAAAATGTACTTTAAGAATCATAAACTGTCTGTAGTGAATAATGACGTTTTCTCTCCTCACACATTTCAGTATTTAACAGTTTAGAGGCGACAAAATCTCCACCATTAATATACAAACATATTCATAGTTAAATCATACAATATTTATGTATTTGTGTGTGCATGTGTGTGTGTGAGTATGCATGGGTGTGTGTGTGTATCTGTATGTGTGTGTGTGTGTGTGTTTTTGTGTGAGTGTGTGAGTGTTTGTAATGTTTGTGTGTGTGTGTATCTTCGTGTATGTGTGTGTCTGTGTATCTGTGTGTGTGTGTGTGTGAGTGGGTGTGTGTCTGTGTGTGTGTGTGTATGTGAGTGTATCATCTCTTGTAGTCATGTGGAGGCTTCGACCAGCTTGTGCTTCTTAAAGGCAGGAGACTGATAGTGAGGTTTAAGATGAGCTTCACAGTAAGACGCCAGACACACCAAACAGGACTTGAGGGCTTTGCGTTTCCTCCCAGTGCAGAAATCACACTCCACATCTCCAGGTCCAGCGTAACAGTGAGCAGGAGGAGCAGCTTGGAGTTCTGTCTTCTTCACTTTCTCCAACATTTTAGCCATCATGTTGTTCCTGCGTAGAACAGGCCTCAGAGTGAAGGTCTCCCTGCACTGGGGGCAGCTGTAGACCCCCCTCTGATCCTCCTGATCCCAGCAGCCATTAATACACACCATACAGAAACTGTGTCCACAGTGAATAGCCACTGGATCCTTCAGCAGATCCAGACAGACTGGACAGCTGAACTGGTCCTGATCTACTGAAATACTGGCCTCTGCCATTTTCCTACACTCGCAGACTCAGAGAAAGAGAGAGAGAGAGAGAGAGAGAGAGAGAGAGAGAGAGAGAGAGAGAGAGAGAGAATAAGATGAGAGTGAGATCAGTGGACGAGACTGGGACAGAAATTTGAACAAATGTGGATTCGGGCCTTAAAAGTACTGTATTAAACTGACTCCAGCTTGTAGGAGTAACACAGTCTCTGTGCAGATCCTCTGAGTGCAGCGTCCTCTACAGAAGCTGATCATAGTAATGAGCTACAATACACTGTTCATACCTAATAAAGTACATAATCCTTCTCAAAATATTGATTCATCACATTTTAATGTTTTTACAATGAAACTATACTTCTACATTAAAATCATTTAGACTAGGCATAAGAAGAGTGCTAGTACTTTTCTTAAGTATATCTGATTATACTTAAATGTTAGTATAACAAGTTTCGGTCATGCAACTTTACGTCCCGACTGTTCTGAAAAAATGGTTTTCTACTCAAAGCTACAACTCATCGCAGTTCACATCAGTCGCATCTGGTGGCCAAAAGGATGAAGAACATGTAACAAATGCTAGAGAGCTCAGTGTACATCCTATTTAGGGATACGGTTTGTTGCCCTACAGTTCTACTCGTTCCTGACAGACGCTTTGGAGCTCGTGTCAAACAAATGATTGATCTGCTTACTTATCGCTTTTATTGACAGACTGTTTTACCTGTTTTAATCTAACATGATCAAACCTACTGCCAGAGTGACTGGTGGTTTGGTGGCATCCACCAGAGGGCGCCAGCTCTCCCTTATTCCTCTAAAATAGATCTTGTTATCCAGTTTCTGGAAGTTTGACCCACAATCACGTATAAAGCATCTTTGTTCCTAAGAGGGAAAGTGAGGTAGGTTTTAATCCTAACTGAACCACCTAATCAACTCTTACCCCTTTATCAGCCTCTGCCTCAAATCAAATCTCTTCCAGGTTCATCTTCAGATCAACAGTCACCCCACAGAACAGCAGTTGGTGAGTTTGGACCATGCCTTCAACATATCGCTGCTGTAGGAACAAAACCTTGTATCTCCATTTTAGGCGTTTTTCAGTTTTTGACATATTTTGAAAAAGCCTGTTGCCGTTTACATTATGTGTAAATTTTATGATGAATGGACCAAAAGAAACGGCTAAAAATGACTTGGAAAAATGTCTGGTTCCATTGACTTACATTATAAGTAAAGTAGGTTTTTTCCTTCTCCTGTAAAGTTACCATTTTGGAGATACGAGGTTTTGTTCCGACAACAGCGAAATGGTGGTAGTATAAGGGAGGACTGATTGAGGGAGGGGGCGACTCTGAAAACTTGGGCTGGAGTTCTGAGTGACTTCTGTCTGTAGCTAGAAGGCTGGACCCTCTGCTGGACCCCCTGTGGTAGGACTGAGGAAGAGGGAGGAGATGGAGTGGTGGTGGTGATTGCGAGCACCTCGTCATGGCAACAGAAGGCGAGGTGTGAATTTATAGGGTCTTAGATTGGATGAAGGAGGGGTTTCAGCCATGCCCCCCCCCCAAAAAAAAACTTCAGTTATAACATAACTAGATGTAAACTACAGCACTGTCCCTTACAGTCACCACTGTTCATCTAAACTCACAATGATTCCAGAAATTATGTCTGTTTTGAAGGTGGAGGTGTGGATGGATGATGTACTTCTACAAACCACTCCACCTAAATCAGACCCTAATTTATCAGCAGTAAGAACAAACCGTGCTCTGTGCAGTAAATCCATCAAGCATTATTTAAGAATGAACCATCATTTATCTCTGATGCATCTCAGAACACTTTAGAAGTGTTTTTCAGAAAGTGTGTAGGGTTTATCATCTGAGTCTGCATGACTTTATTTAGATCAGCAATGCATGTACAGATCAGCAGATGTGTTTACTAGATTTGTCAGGATTTGAACAGCAACATTCAGATTATCACAGAGTAATGAAAGATTACGGGACCCCTTCTGGCTACAAGATAGAGGGGAATAAAATGGATTTGTAAACTCTTATAAATGTTCATTCAAAACCTTTTTTTTTATTCGATAACATAATCTTCATTCTTTACCTGTGTTTCATTACTGAGTCACACAGTTTAACTGACGACCCCAGACCGAGCCCAAACCCAGCATAGAGCGGCTGAGTGAATGTGGTGTGGACTGTGTGTAGGAGGGTCATTGTGTCAGAGACGCTGTAGAAGGACAGAGTTCCTGCACTGTGATCCACATACACTCCTATTCTGGAGGATGATCGGCGTGAGAGCTCAGTCTTAATGCTGTTGTGCCAGAAAGAGAGAGTGTCAGAACACAACAGACTCCAGGACTGATTGTTGCGTCCAAACCTGCACTTATCACCATCGCCATTCCTGCTGATTCCTTTATATGACACTGATATGGACACCGAACCTCCCCACTCGACCTCCCAGTAACAGCGTCCACTCAAACTCTCCACACACAACACCTGCTTCCAGTAGTCAAATCTCTCTGGATG